GCAGAGCATAAACCGTCCACATGAGGCGGTCAATTTGTTCGTAGACAGTCAAGCGGCGATAAGAACCATGCAATCATCAGCGGTCAGTTCCCAAAATGCACTGGCAAGCAGGGAGGCACTAGATAGCCTAAGCACGACTACTTAGTCCTGACTTCAGTGAGGATCTACTGGGTTCCCAGCCACCAAGGCATTGACGGTAACGAAACCGCGGACGAACTTGCAAAGGAAGGCGTTGGACTGGCGAGTGAAAGAACAAAATACGTCCCTATCTCCCTAAGAACGCTCCAAAGCGAGCTAGAGAGACGGGCTGACGCAAGCGCAAAAAGCAGGTGGCGGAGTAATTCCGCAACCTGCAGAATATCAAAAATCATGTGCAAAGAGTACAACGAGAATTTATAACACTACGTGCTGCATCTTTCGCGGAAGGACTGCAGAATGTTAGTGGGTATTCTTACTAGAGCTGGGAAAAAATAGATGTCAACATCGATTAAATCGATTCTTTCTCTTTGGTCGATGCATCGATTCGGTTTAGAAAGAATCGATTAATCGACAAGGTCCATGCTTTGCGCTATCTGTGCGTTTCAGCTAGCTCAACAGAAGCAGAGCGAGTATTTAGTAAGGCTGGATGTATTATAACCGATAGACGTGCCGCTTTAAAACCCAAAACTTTAAATAAGCTCGTTTTTGCCAACAAAAACCAGTGGCTAGTCTAGAATTTTGATATTTATTTTCATTTTTATAATTTGAAAATATTTTCTTTTGTTTTTGTGATCTCATTTAATTTAATTTAATTTTTCTGGAAATAACCAGTAAATAATTGATTTTGATTTTTTGTTTATATAATATGAAAATATTTTGTTTCTTATTTTATGAATCTTTATTTTAAATATTTTTATTTAAAATAAGTTACTTTATTTAAAATAAAGGCTTTGAATAATTTTATTTAAAATAAAGATTCATAAAATAAGAAACAAAATATTTTCTTAAAAAAAATCAAAATCAATTAATCACTGGTTATGGCCAGAAAAATTTATTTGATTTATTATGAATACATTTTTGGTTTATTGTTTAAGAATGATTATGTAAATAAATTTAAGTTTTGGTTTTTTTTAAATTTATTTGAAGTAAAAAATAAAAGAGTTTTGTTTTCGATTTAATCGATTTTATTTTCAAAAAAAAATAAAAAAAATCGAAAAAAATCGATTCGCTGAGAATCGATTTTTTCCCAGCTCTAATTCTTACAGGTCACTGCCTGTCTGCTGCACATGCAGTCAAGCTGGGTATTACCGAAAACGCCAAATGCCGGAAATGTGATGAATCCAAGACAATCGAAACCTTGGAGCATATCATTTGCAAATGTCCGGCCCTAACGAGGGCAAGAATGAGATACCTAGGCTCTCCAGTTCTGGCATCGCTAGAAGATGCCTCCAGGAGGAAGCCAGGCGAACTCCTTGCCTTTGCGAAAAACACCTTGATATTCAAGGATCTCAAAACCCGCATAAATAGTCTCTAGGTCCTTCCAGGAGTTTCCCCGGATAGCTATGGGCCATATTGGCCTATGTGTGGCCCCTCGAGGTCCGTCCGGTCTAACCTAACCTAACCTATTGCTTCCTTGTACTGCATACTAAAATGATGTGTCTTGTAGCGCTGCCACTTAAAATATCCGACATCCGTCTGATTGATAAGCTTTTTATATCATTGTTAAACCAAGGATTTTGTCTCGGTTTTATTGCCCTTTATTGACAAGCACGCATTTATTAAAAATAAAGTATAAATTATTGTTTAAATCATTCAATTGAGACTCGACAGTAGAACATTGATATATGGGACGCCAATGTATCATATTGAAGCTAAAGATCTGTGTAATTAATATTCTTAGTCTCTATAGCCGAAAAATTATTCAGTATCGTCCAATGTTAAAAATCAATCAATGAAATCAAAAAAATTAGGTCATAGTAATATCTTTCTAGGGTCATTAATGAGAAAAAGATCAAGAAGACTATCACAATAGTTGCTAAAATTCGTAAGCGTTATTCTATTTGCAGCATACAGCCCCAACGCTTCAAAACTATGTTTATCTTTTAAGATATTTTCGTTTAGAATATTACTGCAAGGATGATGTCATCATATGAAGCTTATATTTCGCTAATGGTTTCCATAAAGGGATCAAAATGTATTGTGCGATTTGGACGATATATGCAACCAATTCGCAGTTTATTGCATAGAAATTTATTGGTTACTTCTAAAACGATTAAATAAAATTATTTTGATTTTTTTATTTTACGGTTATTTTGACCATTTTATTACTAAAAATAAGCCTATACTTGGGAAATTTTTAATAGACTAAGCATTTCTGGACTATAATCACTTGATTCTATATATTTTCGTCACTTTACATGCCGTAGAGATGCAATAAAAGGGTCAGATTATGCAGCCAACATGTTGAATAGGTTTGCAGTTGCAGTTGCTATACTTTTTGGAAGATTCAGGTATATTTTAACCTGAGTTGTTTTGATTTTTTGCTCCGCATTTCCGCACATACACACATAGTGTAATCAGTGGCTTACATCGGTTTCAGTTTTTATTGACTACTCTAGGTAGAACAAGGTGATAAGAATGGGCAGGTGGCAGATAGCTATTTACCTGTACAAGCCCAAAGCAAACTGCCGTTTTTTATACCCTTGCAGGGTATTATAATTTCAGTCAGAACTTTGCGACGCAGTGAAGGAGACTTTTCCGACCCTATAAAGTATATATATATTCTTGATCAGCATCAACAGCCGAGTTGATCTAGCCATGTCCGTCTGTCCACTTGTCCGTTTCTACGCAAACTAGTCCCTCAGTTTTAAAGCTATCTGAATGAAACTTTGCATATAGTCTTCTATATACTCTCACTGCTATATATGTCGTAACGGGCCGGATCGGACGAATATATCATTTAGCTGACATACAAATGTTCGATAAATTTTTAGAAAAAAAATTATAACTTGCCTGTTTTTCAATATTTTTGCACCATTTTTGAGATATTGCCATTTTATATTATTCCAAAATTTCCGTAAAAATGTTAAGAAAAATCGGTCGACTATATCTTATAGCTGCCATACGAACGATCGGAAAAAAAAAAAATTAAAACTTCGTTGTTTTTCAACGTATTTTCATCTGAGATATAGGCTTATTTTACTATTTCAGAATTTTGGTATAAATTTTCTGCAAATCGGACAACTATATCATATAGATGCCATATAAACGATCGGTAGATGTTGAGAAAATGTAAAGCTGGGAATGCAAAACTGTAACTGTCAAACTGTAAACATAATAAGTATAGGTAAAATGTAATGAAATAATATCTGCAAGAGTATACAAACTTCGTGCCGAAGTTAGCTCCTCTCCTGTTTTTTTTTAATATTATTTTCTTATAAAACTGGAAACTGAGTTGCTTTTCTTATGGTTTAAAAATAATGTTGGAAGTTGTTCCATTGGCGGATAGCATTTATAAAGAATTGAAAACGTTTTTGACTTTTCCCATTTTTGCAACGCTATTTTATCGAGAGGCGATACTGTGCGGCGGCAAGCTATCTCGTGAACGAGCACAAAGCACCCGACCTCTAGATTGCGGCCTTCGATGATCCATTTCCTGCTGTGCTGCAGGCTGACCAAATAGTCTGTTAGGGACTTTTCATCGTTGGGATCGCGGCCAGGCGACGCGATTGGACGAGAATTACACAGTACAGCTACATGTGCTCAACTCTTCGGTTCCTCAAGAAAGTTGCTTGCTCCTACGACGTTCATGTCGTTGCCACATCTTATCTGGCCGCCCCTCCTTCTGATGAAGGTGGTAGGCAAATTATTTTATGTATCTAAAACAGTCCCCGAAGACAATTTATGTGCATGCTTCTTGCGCTTTAATTTACCGTTCTAAAAAATCAGACAAATCTGTTTTCCACAAATCGCTTCTATGTTTCTGTTCTTCTGTTTAAATTGGATATTCCATACTCGTCATTACAAAGTTAAAGCACTGGGAAAAATGCTCTTCAGATCAGCCTACTTCTGCAATTACTATTAGGAAAATATTTGAAAAACGGTCGTCATATGGTTAGCTCCATTAAATTAAAAGGTCAGACTATATTACACATTCAACTACTAAAATCCTGAAGTTGATCGTGTACTAACTAAAGGGCTCTTAAGGGGGGACATCTGAGTAACTGGCAAAAAAAAAAACGATTTTCTAAAATTTTTTTTGGCCAAATGAAAAAGCCAATCGAAAAATTTTAAAGTAGGTTTGATAATGTTATATATAAAGTACAAAATACATTTTTTTTTGTAATAAATCAAAAACAAAATGGCGGCTGTGCAGCATTTCTTCGTAGGCCCTTTTTTGTTGAAGGGGGTCCATGGCCGGAAACCTAACGTCCTTAATTTTTTATCTAGAACAAAAAATCAAATTTTGTTAGATTCTATATCTCAACCGCTATCGACACACGTAGGATTTTTTCGATATTTTGATTTTTTGCAAAATGGTAAGTGATTAAAAAAAATGTTAAATTTTCATGAGAAAAAATGGTCACAAAATTGTTGATAAAAAAAAAGTAAGCAATAAAAAAAAATCCTACGTGTGTCGATAGCCATAGGTATTTTGGATATACTGCCAAAATTTCAGATCGATCGGTTAAGATTTGTTCGAGTTAGGTTTCCGGCCAACTCAAAAAAAGTGGTTTTGAGAAAAACGCGTTTAAAGTTTTAAAATCGTATATGATTACATGTGAGGCATCGCCGCAGAATGGAAAATTTCGACACTTAGACACATTTGCCGGACTCTATCTTTTGGTGTTATTTTTAAGACCCTAAAGAATTTTTTAAGCAAAAAAAATTTTAGATTTTTAAAAAAAGTTACTCAGATGTCCCTCCTTAAGCATTTACATAAAATTGCTATGGCACAAAAACCAATAGATTAGTTGGACACTTTCTTTTACCTTCTACGTTATCGAAAACAAATAATAAAATTTATCTTTTAACCAAGTATACATCATTTTATTCCTATCTTTGTTCGGTCGACTTTAATATAAACATTATGGTGAGGCATGTATTCCTCACTCAACGTGTTACTTTTTAGAGATATGGAAAACTGCTTAATTAGGCAACACATTGAAGCACATATATTAAGCGAAAAATGGATGGTAATAATATTACTGTTTTCACAGAAGAAATCGGGATGAACAACCTGCACCTCCAATTTACATATTCCGTTATCTACAGTTCCAGATAATTGATCCAGAATTACGGCTTGATTTACAGTTTTTACTAGCCATGTCTGGGGGGCTTCATCAGTAAATTTTAGTTCTTGTGAGAGTCGAAAATGAAAATAAATTGTACTTTTTTTATCTAAGTGGAAAGACAATTCCTTAATAACGTGATGGGGTGATCCATCCTTAAATAAATATTTTGATTCTTGTGCATCGGTTTCGCTAGTAGACGTTACTTGTCCAAAATCCAGAGAAAATGGTTGTGCTTTCAACGTTTTCAAGTCTATTAGGTGTATTGTGTGTTTGTTTGTATCTGCTACCAGCAATTTTCGACCATCGACGTCTACGCACAAGCCAGCTGGTTCATTCAGAATTAAATCGGTTTCGTCAGGACCTTTGATTGTCAACGAAGATATGATATTATCTTCTATATTAATAACTTTGATCTTATGATTGTAGGTATCAGCTACATATATCCTATTATTAACATCGTCATAAGTAAGTGCCAGTGGATGTTGAAGTTTCGCATTGAATAGTTTTCCATCCGCATCGCCAAATGCAAACAGATTCTAAAAAGGTAAATATCCATATTTTACAATAAAATAAGATAAGTTTAAATTAAAATTCATATATTTATAAATACTTACAAGTGGGTTTCGATCTCCTCCAGCCACTGGCATCACCTTTCCATCGATCATAGATGCTTTACGTATGCTAGAGCTTTCGCTATCAGCTATGAATAAATAGTCCTTTGCCATTGCCAGACCAGATGGCTGAGCAAAAGCTGCATTTTGAGGGTAGGAGTTATTACGATTTTCCTCCAAACCGTTTCCAATCAATGCAACACAACAAAGGGGCTCGAATTTACGGAACTTCCACCAAATAATACCTTCGGGAAAATAGCCCCAAATTTGGTGGGTACCGGCCATCGAAATAAGAACAATAGGCTTTTCGGGCACGTTGAGTTCATCAAGATGAAATGACATATCCATATCACGAGTCCGAAATATGGCCACATCCCAAGGAGATGATATAGGTTGCACGTTGCCTATGCGCCCTCCAATACGATCGCTTCCTTGAACACCTGTTCCAGCCAGAGTATCAACCTGCTTATTTGTTAAACAGATTTTTCGAAGACAGTGATTCTTAGTGTCGGCAACGATTAGAACATTTTCGTCGATAAATGCTACTCCCTGAGGACTATTAAAGCGTGCTGTTATTAAATTTCCGTCAGCAAAACCAGCTTGATAGCCTCCTATCTTGTGTTCTACCACTCCATCTTTAGTCACAACAAGGATGCGGTTATTACCGGAATCTGCAATCGCATATTTGTCGCCACGCGGACTTCTCGTTATTTTGGCCGGAAAACGTAAATTAGACGCCGGGTAAAAGTTACTTGATAACTCCAAAGGCAAGTTGCCGTGATCGATTTTTCCAAGCTTTTGAAAAAATAACAAGGCAGCTCCGATGAATTCTTCGAGGAATTTTCCGTGTCCTTCGCCCATTAGTATTAACAAAGGCCGACCAGTCGGACTTAGAACCATCAGAGATGGCCAACAGCGTATTCCTAGGCGGCTCCACAATGCTGACCTGGTATCATTAACAATGGGATGTGTGATTCCATATCGGTGAACAGCTGACTGAATGTTAACAGTGGCCCGTTCGTTTTCAAATTTTGGACTATGCACACCGACGACTACAAGCCCACTGTCAATGGGAAACTGTTCTTCCAGACTGTGCAGCTCGGGTAATATGTGTATGCAATTAATGCAACAATATGTGAAAAAGTCAAGAACAACTATTTTTCCTCGCAATCCGGCTAACGACAATGGCCGACTAACATTAAACCAATCCAAGTCTAAAAGTAAAGCAATTAAAAATAGGTATTTTAATGTCAAACATATACACTGCGTTTCACTTGAATAGCACATTTTTTTATGCAATTTCAAATCTTGAAATCTTTTAACCAAAAAGAAAACTCGCTGATGTTTAGGTTTCTATTTATAGTGTAATCAATTTTAAATATAAGAAAAGTAACAAAACTTAAATTAAATTAACAATTAATAAATGTTAACAAAAAAACATAAAAACTTAAAAAATTGCACAACAATTTTGTTTCACATGAATAGCACTTTTTTGTTTTAAAGTATATTTAACGAACTTAAATATTAGGAAATGTGTTTTTATTCAATAGTGATTATTAATACATATATATTTGTTAATTTAGTAATGGGTTGAGCCTCCTTTATTCAATATAACCTCGTAGATCCTGTTGGGCATCGAAACATATAGACTTTTAATGTAGTCTAAGGATATTGTAGCCCAGGCCCTCTGAATGGCGTCAATTAGTTCTTCTTTTGTTGAAAATTGTTTGCCAGACCAATAAACCTTTCTGGCCAGCCATCCCCAAACATTTTCAATTATATTCAGATCCGGCGAGTATGGTGGCCAGTTCAGAGTTTCAACATTTTTATATTTTAAAAAAGATTTTACAACACCTGCAGTATGTATTGGCGCATTGTCGTGCTGGAATGTCCAAGGCAAATTATTGAAAAAATTTTCCAATGGTGGAAAAGCGTTTTTAAGGACGTTTAGATACGCTTTTGCGTTCATGTTTGAGGATAAGAATTGGAGCTCACAAGTCACATGGTAAGATATGGCTCCCCAAACCATAACTCCGCCTACTCGACTATGTAAACGCTCCAATTGATGCGTCTCTTTCCTCAGATCATGAAAATAATAATTGCAGCCATCTGGCCCCTCCAAATTGAACTTTTTTCATCAGAAAAAACTACGCGCTCCCGCTCGTTACACCATGACATATTGACGCGGCAAAAGGTCAACCGTGCTTCCTTTCGTTTGGGGTTAAGCGGTGGTTTTTTTTTAAGTTTCAAACGTTTTAGATGTTTAGCTTTCGAAATAACTCGCCAAACAGTAGTTTTGCTCGCGTCAACACCTGCTTTTCCCTTATTTTGCTCACAGAGTCATAGGAATTTGCGGCTTCCCACAGAATCGCACGCTTATCTGAGTCGCTAAGAACACAACTTTTGCGACCTTTCATATTTTTTCCATAGTTTTGTTTGATTTTTATAAAATTATATACGACTTTTCTGCTTCTTCCAATTTTTTTCGCTATATTAGCTACAGAAAGGTCACAATCAATATAGCTTTGTATTTAGATCTGTTCTTTGTGACTTAGTGACGTTCCAAGATCCATAATTGCACAAAATGATTAAACTATGTTTAACATTCATAAATTAATCAAAAAAAGTGTTTGATTCAATCTCCTTGGCTGCTGAAATGACACGTAATCTAAAATGTGCTATTCAAGTGAAACAAAAAGGTGCAAGTTATTGAAGCAATTTGAAAAGAAAATTACGGTACATTTAAACGGTACATTTTCAGACTTTCAATTTTTGCTGGAAGAGAGTATATAATATGACGAAAATAAAACACCAACAATCATTTCATTAGATCAAGCAGTTGCTAAGATATAAATAAGTAATTATGAAAATGTTTTTGTGCTATTCAAGTGAAACGGAGTGTATATAAATATATAAATGTATTTATGTTGAACACATACCGGGCTCAAATTCAAAGTTTAAAGATTTAAGAATTTTAATTGAATTGTCATTGTCCCATCGCTCAAAAAATTCATTAAGCACTTTGACTTTCTCTGTTTTTTCATTGCTGTTTTTGTATGTTTGTTGAAGTTCATTTGTTATATATGTAAGTATATCTATAAACGGAAGGTCGGCAGAAAATTCCATTTTAGGAAGATCAGAACGCAAACAAATATATGAGCTGAAGCTGGCGAAAACGACGCACACTGTTTTTTTATTTAATTATTTGAGTCATCGATGTTGTATTGAGTCTATCGATGATTTTGCTGTATTGTAATAGTGTGTTCCCACACAGTCCACATTTAAAATTATATCGGCCCTATTATTATATAGCTTTGTAGTAAAAGAACATTATTTCTTCAGGCTTGCTCCGGTAATCGTAAAATTTTTTCGATTTCGTTTTGGGCGAAAACGAACCGTTTTCGTTTTTAGCTGCTCTGGTTTTCGGCAAATTTCTGCTATCGGAATGTTTCGTTTTCTCAAGTAGCTAACTTGTGTTTTTGGTAGAAGTAAATAACGTAAAGTACTGCCTATTATATTTACAATTGCCCTTTTTATAAGCCAGAAAAAGGCAAAAAATGCTAGAGTTAGGCAAATTTTGGCATCTTAGATGCTGCCACTCTTTTCACAGTTTTAATTCCGGTGGTCTCAAATAATTATTTGATTAATTTGGACCATTTAAGTAATTACATTAAATAGCATTAATTATAAACAACCATTTTGGCGGTCCTTTAAAGTTATTAATGTATTCATTAATTCAATTCAATTCTTTCTTCAAAGTGAAGTGACGTGTTTTTTTTCTTGCGCTCCCGATTTGTGTAGAATTTGTCTAAAAACCTCCGGGGTTTACTAATATTTAATATTTGGTGTTTCAAATAATTCCCGTTCACTTCGCGTGTGCATGCTACTTGTTTATTTCGTGCTATTTATTTCAATTTAAATTGCATTTTAGTTTGGGCTGGTGCGGTTGCTTTGCATTTTTCTCTTTTTGCATTCCCTTTTGTGCCTTTAGCGTTTGTTGTTGTTTGCGTTGCTGCGACAGCTATAAACGGTTCTACTCAGTGCTTATCTCTCGCTCTCCTGCTCTTTGCCCCCCCGCTCATCAAGTGCCGCTGAATTTAATCCCTTGCGCCCTCTCTTAAATAGTGGAAGTACAGTGGTAAGTCCTTATAATGTCCCTTAATATGGTCTGCTTCGAAAAAAATTGTAAGAAAAATATTACTTACGGTGAACTCACCATCACCTGTTGGCTGTGTGACAACATAGTGCATGTCAAGTGCATTGGTGTTGTTACACGGCCAGTAGATGACGTGGCTAAAAATATCGGCATACGATACTGCCGTGAGGCCTGCCGCGAGGTGGAGAGGGAAATGATGTCTTTCATGCGGGTGGTTTTAAAGAGCTATTATTGAGTTTTCGCAAAACTCAAGATATGCTTTTGGCTGGATACTCAATTTAATAGCCCCAAGCTGTTAAATGAGTCTCCTAGGCGCAAAAAAACCGCAACTGGTGGGCAGCATCTTGGCGGATCCCAGCCACCAGTGATAGGCTCTCAACAGCAGCCCCCCTCGACTCTGCCCCCGACCCCGGGACAAATTCCAAGAATCCTGAGATCGAGCGCTAAAAAAGATTCGGTATCCGAATGCGTCGCGGGTGCGACCGTGCCCCCGGTGTTGCCCAGTTCCGTTTTGTCCACTGGGGGGTCCCAACTGTTGTCTCAGCCCTCTCAGAGCCCTAATCCAAGTCCCTGCCAGGGTATCAGGCCCGGACTACCGGCCGAAAGTGGTATGGCGGCTCAGTCTGCCGTGCCAAAACCTCTTATGGCAATTCCACCAACAAAACAGTTATTTGTTTCGTGACTTTCCCCTGATCAGACATCGGAAGATGCCATAGCTTTTATCCAAGGCAAAGTAAATGTCGATAGAGAAAAAATTAAGGTGGAAAAATTTTAATTTTCTTATCCTAGGAACATTTTGTCTTTCAAGATAAATGTTCCTGACGAAGTCTTTGGCATTCTATACTCTGCACAAACCTGGCCACAGCCAGTGGTTGTCAAAGAGTTTGAAGGTAAGAAAAACAAAAAGCGGCCTGTAGGAATTACTCTTCCTAGGCCAGATTTGCCCAATGCTCCTTCTACGTCTTTCAATTCCGTCCCAAAAAACTAACCAACTCCCTTGGTATTTCCTGTCAGAATGCAAGAGGCTTTCGCAGTAAGCTTCCTAAATTGTATTCTGACAGCGTCGCATTTGCTTCCCAAGTTATTGTGTTCACAGAAACCTGGTTAAAGCCGGAGATTCTGAGCTCCGAAGTTTTTCCAGCTGCGTTCACAGTATACCTGGTGATTTTAACATCCCAGGGGCTATTTGGTCCCTAGATAATTCCACTAACACACTTCTTACCACAACACATCATTTTATTTATTTTATTGCTGGCTTGTTTGACATTTCGCTGTCCAAGAGGGGAAAGAGTTAGTTTAGCTAGGGTGGCGCCCCTGACACAACCCGAAGATCCCTATCATCCCACTTTCGATGTGACTATCGACATGGGGACTGTTTCACGGAATAAATCTGACTGTCCAGCCCAAGAAGTCTTCTGCTTTAGCAAGACGGATTTCGTACGGCTAAATAATTTCATAATTGATTACAACTGGTCCGATCTATACACATGCACTGACATGGCGGAAGCCGTGGGTATTTTTTATCGTGTTATGAATTCATTTTTTTTTGAGTGTGTTCCGTCCGTTATACTGTCCGTCTACATCAAACAAGCCTCCTTGGTTTACCAAAGAGTTGACCCGCCTCAAAAATAGAAAATCTATATGCTAAATATCAACGTACCGGTTCTCCGATTGTCCTATCTGTGAAGGGATGGCTTTTCCGAGTGGTGGAGTAATGTTTATTGGATATGGTAAGGGGTTTTACAGGATGAAAACTTAAGGAACTTATATTCTGCGTTATAAATCTGGACCGCGTCCGCTCGATTCTCTCGTTGCTCTTCTTCTCTCTGGTATCGGTATCGTCTCGTATCGTATAGTCTAACTATCGCTTACATACTATCGGTATCGTATCGGTTGTTCCTGGACAACAACCAGTCCTCGCGAGATTATTGGTTGGATTCGTCTTCGTCGTCATCATCTTCATCTGGCTCATCGGGTGGACTGACTTGTAGTGTCTCTGCTTTCGTTGTGCGTGTGGGATATCTTCAACTAGATATCGGTCGTTGGGCAGCACCTTGGATATGATAAAAGGACCTTTGTAGCGCGGCTCTAATTTGCGCGATGTGCCCGTGCTAAACGGCTCGTTTTCCACCAAGACAATGTCTCCGGTGCTATAAACAGTTGGCTTGTAATGGCTGGCATCATATCGTCTCTTGGCGGCGGCTCTGTGGTCGTTTACTGTAGTCGCAGCGTCAGCTCGGAGCTTCTCCAAGTCGGCGTCTGTCATCATGCTCAGATCTTTATTTTGGATCACGCTCGTCAGCGTGTTCTTAAGGACATCTCGGGGCTCGTAACCATATAGTAGCTGAAATGGGGAACATTTAGTAGTGCTGTTTACCATGGTGTTGATGCTCCACTGGATTGATCGCATCTTCTCGTCCCAGCGTTTTTCATTCTCGTTTGAAGGCAATAGCATTGACAAAATAATTCGGTTTGTCCGTTCTGCGTGACCGTTGGCTCTTGGTGTTCTGACAGCGTTAAGGATGTGCTTCACATTGTTTGTCTTGCAGTACTTTTCAAAATCTTTGGAGGTGAAAGCGGTACCTCGATCGGGGACGATTCTCTCTGGCATTCCCACGTAGCTTGTGACTTCTTGCAGGGCATCTATGACGTGTTTAGTTGCTGTACTTTTTACTGCTCGAACTATGGTAAACTTGGTGAAAGCGTCGACAAGAACGAGGATATGTTCATTTCGCTTCGAACTCTTCGGAAAAGGTCCCAGATGATCCATGTGTACGGTCGAAAAGGGAATCGGCTTGATGTCATCATAGTGGTACTGACCTTCGTGTCGTCCACCTGGTATTTTATACAGCGCGCATCCTACACAGGACTTTATGTAGCTTTTAACGAAGTTATGCATTCGGGGAAACCAAAATAAATTCATAATTCTGCTGATGGTTTTATCTGTGCTCATGTGTCGGGCTTTATCGTGGCACTCGTGTAGAATATGGAATCTCAGCTGCTTCGGCACAACCCATAGCAGTTTGTTGTCATATTTGCGAGACAGGCGATCTTGCTCGATCACATACTCGTCGTTTTCCGATTTCTTTTCGGTTTTTATATCAGCAACAATTTTCTGTATCTTTTCGTCTTGAAGTTGTATAGCAAACAACCAGTCAGCTTCGTCAATAATTGTTTTTGAGATCTTTAGGGATGCTGTATCCATCTCATGTGCGTCTTCAAATGGCGCTCTACTCAGCGCGTCAACGTGACCCATCTGTGTTCCTGCTCGATGAATGATGTCGATGTCAAACTCCTGGATTCGTAACCACCATCTTGCTATTCGGGGTATCAGCTCGCGTTTTTCCATAGACGTCTTCAAAGCGTTGCAATCGGTGACAACCTTGATCTTGCCATAAATATAGTATTTGAATCGCTCCAAGGACTCAACGACGGCTAAGGCTTCTAGTACGTAGCTGTGATAGTTTTTCTCTGGTTTGGATGTGGCTCTGCTATAGTATGCGATTGGCTTTAGTTGATCTTCATCTCTCTGCATCAAAACTCCTGCTAATCCAACGGCGCTCGCATCTGTATGGACTTCGTGTTCAGCATCTAAGCGGTAGCTAGTAACAACAGGCTTCGACGTAAGGCATCTGTAGTTCTTGAAAAGCATCTTCTTGTGGCTGTTCCCATTTGAATTGCTGGTCCTTGCGCAAAAGGATTCGCAGTGGTTCTGATATAATCGCATATCCGGCAACGAATTTTCGGAAATAACCAGTAAGACCCAAAAACTGTCGCACTTCGGTGACATTAGTTGGCTTTTCAAACTCTGCAATGGCATTCGTCTTGACTTCTCCAGGGCTGATTCCATCAGTGTGTATTTGATGACCTAAAAATGTGATTGACTGCTTATATAACTCACATTTGTCGACGTTCAAAGTTAATCCGCATTCTCGCAATACTCGTAGAACTCTCTCTAGCTTCTCGTACATCTCGTCGAATGTTGTGCTGCCGATTAGGATGTCATCCATGTAGTGCATCATGTCGCCTTTCTGCACACGCCTCTGCAACTCTGCCATGAGTCTATTGAATACAACAGGTGCATTCTTTAGCCCAAACGGAAGACGTTTGAACTCATACATTCCATCCGTGGTGATAAACGCAGTGAATTTTCTGCTCTCAGGTTCCATTTCGATCTGATAATAGCCGCTATTCAAATCTAACGACGAAAAGTATCTAAAGCGCTTCGCTTGCTGCAGCCTCTCCTCAATGTTTGGTACTGGAAAGTTCTTCTTTCTGATTAGCTTGTTCAGACGACGGTAATCGATGCAAAGTCGATCACTTCCGTTCGGTTTCTTGATGAGCACCACCGGGCTAGCGTACTCTGATGTGGATGGGGTGATGATGTCTAGTTTCAAAAGTTCGTCGACCATTTTGCCGACAACTTCCATCTTCGGCTCGGAAACTCGATATGGCGCTTGGGAAACCACTTGGTTACCCTCAACAACGATCTTTGCCTGGACTATGTTTGTCTTGCCAATGCCTTGCAATCCTGTGGAGAAAACGTCAGCAAACTTCTCCAGCAGACTGCGAACTTGCTCTCTTTCGGAATCGATCTGGAAATTAACAAGAAGCTTGTGAAAAATACTCTCGGTTGAAAGTGTTAACGGCTGATGAACTGCTCTCTTGACTTCTGACTCGTCTGGCTCGAACTTCAACAATAATTCAGCGCAGGTGATCACATCTTGTCCCAATAATAAGTCTTCCTGTAGTAGATTGTCTTCTGCGATGTAAACTTTGGCTGTTACGATTTTTCCAGCGATGTTGATATCCACAACTATGGCTTCAGTAAGGATTCGTGAGCCTCCACAAATGCCCACAATTTTCATAGCACAAGTCTGGCGATCTGCGTCGATCTTCCAGCTTCCAGTGTCAATGAATGCGTTATACCCTTGCTCGTTGATATATACTCTTCTTGTAAACAGCTTGTCATGATTTGATGCACCCAAACGCATCACCTGTGCGACGTTGCAGCTTTCATTGGCGGCATGAAAAGTATTACATTTGGAACAGCGCGTCTTCTTTCTCTCCTTTGGGCACAAATTAGCGAAATGCCCAAGATCTCCGCAATTATAGCATGCTTTAGCTTCTTTTGGCTTCTTTGGCTTCATCTCGTTCTCCAGCTTTCCCTCAAAGTTACTGGATTTGGGTACGTACTCTTTCTTGTTAGCAATAGGTCGACCTCTGTTTAGAAAATATGACTCAGCAGCATCTCGAAACTCCTTCATCGACGAAAAATGAATGGCTGCAATACTGTTTTGCAACTCTCTGTGCTGTAGACCTGCTCGAACATATCGAATCACTGCTGCTTCACTAAGCTTGAACCGTACTCCAAGTGCTGACATCCGGAAACAATACTCCTTTACGGTTTCCTTCGATCGTCTGGTTGCATTTGCCATGTTGAAATGGATTTCTGCCTCGTCTGGTTCTGCTCCGAACTCTTCTCGGATAGCTGCTGCAAAACTATTGTGTGTAGAACTATTGTGTGTAGAACCTGCGAAGAATCGAGCCACATCTTGGCGGGACCCTTCAGCTTCGTGTAGATAGCTAAAAGCACAAATTTCTCGTCCCATTGATACGCACCAACCACCTTGTTGACACGATCGATGAACTGGTTTACTGAGATCGAATTCTCATCTCCGGGGTCATATTCTGGTAATGTATTTGCAATTTCCTTCACCGACGCTTGTCTAAAATTGTTCGCTGCCTGCTCTCCAGGGTTAGAATCGCTCCTCTCGTCTACGTTGACTTCTTGCACGCGTTGTTGCTGCTGCTGTTGCTGATTAGCTGTTGGCATATTGTTGACCAACTGCGTCATTATGGTTGTCAGTGTCTTCATCTGTTCTTGTATTTGTGAAATCGCAGCTCCCTGTGCTGCGAGTGTTTCCTCATACTGATTCATGATTCCAGCTGCTTGTGGCATATCCACGTCTTCGGAATCTTCGTGATCCACTAGTCTCTGCACTAGTTCTGCTCTGGAGCCCGCAACTCCTAAGTTCCTCTCTCTCAACAGGTACAGCAACTGGTCTGCCTTGAGCTCTGCTATCTTGACCATTTTCTCCAAAAATGATCGCAACTTTCGTCAAAGTTTGTCTGTTTTCCTTCTGTACGCACAACCACAATCGTTTGCACGAACAATCTTGCACCCACGAGCAACTCTTTTTGCCCGTCTGCAAGCGAGATCGCTAGTTCACCACTCCTGAAATTCGCCTCCTTTGAATTTCACAACGTCGCTACACACACATACAAGCCCTTTGTATGATTTCACAACGACGCTCCGCATACACACATACAAGCTTTTTGCATGTCTCTCTTCAGGTTCACCAAGACTCCTGAGTACTCCGTTTTGAATCCATCAGCCACTTAGGAAAGGATCGCTATCCGTAATTTGTAGTCTGTTGTCCTCTAGACCTTTGGGAACACCTATCCCATTACAAACTTCCCACGCCGACGACTCTGCTGCTGCTGCTTCTCGGTGTCTCACTCACTGTTACTGCCTCTTACACATAGCCAACTCGAATTATCTCACTTCTGAACTGTGAAGGGATGGCTTTTGCGAGTGGTGGAGTAATGTTTATTGGATATGTTAAGGGGTTTAACAGGATGAAAACTTAAGGAACTTATATTCTGCGTTATAAATCTGGACCGCGTCCGCTCGATTCTCTCGTTGATCTTCTTCTCCCTGGTATCGGGATCGTCTCGTATCGTATAGTCTAACTATCGCTTACATACTATCGGTATCGTATCGGTTGTTCCTGGACAACAACCAGCCCGTTACATATCTAGTTATTTATCAGCTCGATCCACTTTTACCGTGCATAACACCCAGTGCTACAATAATTATTTGACTCGTTGCAGGGCCCAGTTTTCTGAGCACCCAAAACAGTTTTATAATTTTGTTAAGTCTAAACGTAAACCCATTACTCATCCGTCCTCGCTCTCTTTTGATAATACAACAGCAGATAATGATCAGGCAATAGCCGATCTTTTTGCTCAGTTTTTTGAAACCACTTACTCCAACTCAATAGACCCAAATCAGGCTTATCCTTACATCATCCCCAAATCGAACCAAATCTTCAGTTCTACCATAAACGAAAGCTCTCTTCTTATAGATCTTCATCGTGTTAAGGCAGTTTTTTTACCAGGTCCCGACGGAATACCAGGCTGTGTGCTTAGGAATTGTGCCAAAGCCCTGTGCAATCCACTTCTCAAATTGTTTACCTTATCCTTAGAGCCCTCCCACTTTCCCCTTATTTGGAAGGAATCATTCGTTATTCTTCTCCACAAAAAAGGTAGCAAATTGGATGCCAACAATTACAGAGGTATCTCTAAGTTGTCGGCCATCTCTAAACTGTTCGAAAATGTTATTACTCCTCACCTGCAGCGCCTGTGTAGGTCAATTATTTCTTCATGTCAACATGGTTTTATTAGGCGAAGATCAATTACAACTAATCTGTTGGAGCTTACTTCCTTTATTAAAACGGGCTAACGAAATAACTTTCAGACAGATGTTATCTATACTGATTTCAGAAAAGCATTTGACTCTGTTAACCATTCTCTTTTTGTTCGGAAACTCGATTTAATGGGATTTCCGACTGATCTTCTTAATTGGATCTCATGTTATCTAAATGGCAGGACGCAAAAGGTCTTTTTCGAAAATAAACAATCTAATGTTCTTAGGGTTACATCTGGCGTCCCGCAAGGGAGTCATTTGGGTCCGTTACTGTTTACATTATTCATCAAGGATCTGCCCGAAGTTTTGACCAACTCCAGAGTACTTATGTACGCTGATGACGTCAAGCTTTGTGTGCAATATAACGATGCTACTTGCCAATCTGACTTACAGACAGATCTTAACAATTTTCAAACATGGTGCTGCGTGAAGTTATTAAACTTAAATGGCTCTAAGTGCAAGCAATGACATTCTCCCGTGCCACTCCTAAGCCTGCAACTTATACGCTAAACGGCTGCTCTTTGGAAAAAATTAATATAGTTGATGATTTAGGTGTCCGTCTGGATCCTAAACTCGACTTTATCGATCATATTTCGTGCATGGTTAATAAAGCCAGGGGTGTGCTTGGTTTCATTAAACGGTGGTCGAAGGAATTCAATGACCCCTATGTTACAAAATTTTTATATACTTCACTTGTTCGTCCTATCTTAGAATATGGATCCTGCGATTGGACCCCTCAGTATGGCGTCCACAGTAAACGCATAGAATCGGTTCAAAAGAACTTCTTACTTTTCGCTTCACGCGGTTTAAACTGGGATGCAAACCAGAGGTTACCGTCTTATTCTAGTAGACTTTTACTAATTAAGTTAACCTCCTTATCTAATCGTAGAACCATGCTAGGTATTACATTCTTATACAACTTAATCCGTGGTGACGTGGAAAGTACTGACTTGCTCGGTCAGCTAAATTTTCACGTACCAATAAGAAACACTATATCCTTTTTACCATTAGTTTTGCCACACTGTTGAACATCTTTTGAACTGCATGAACCCTTTAGAGTCCTCTGTGCAAATTATATTCGTCTTGACTTCTCCAGGGCTGATTCCATCAGTGTGTATTTGATGACCTAAAAATGTGATTGACTGCTTATATAACTCACATTTGTCGACGTTCAAAGTTAATCCGCATTCTCGCAATACTCGTAGAACTCTCTCTAGCTTCTCGTACATCTCGTCGAATGTTGTGCTGCCGATTAGGATGTCATCCATGTAGTGCATCATGTCGCCTTTCTGCACACGCCTCTGCAACTCTGCCATGAGTCTATTGAATACAACAGGTGCATTCTTTAGCCCAAACGGAAGACGTTTGAACTCATACATTCCATCCGTGGTGATAAACGCAGTGAATTTTCTGCTCTCAGGTTCCATTTCGATCTGATAATAGCCGCTATTCAAATCTAACGACGAAAAGTATCTAAAGCGCTTCGCTTGCTGCAGCCTCTCCTCAATGTTTGGTACTGGAAAGTTCTTCTTTCTGATTAGCTTGTTCAGACGACGGTAATCGATGCAAAGTCGATCACTTCCGTTCGGTTTCTTGATGAGCACCACCGGGCTAGCGTACTCTGATGTGGATGGGGTGATGATGTCTAGTTTCAAAAGTTCGTCGACCATTTTGCCGACAACTTCCATCTTCGGCTCGGAAACTCGATATGGCGCTTGGGAAACCACTTGGTTACCCTCAACAACGATCTTTGCCTGGACTATGTTTGTCTTGCCAATGCCTTGCAATCCTGTGGAGAAAACGTCAGCAAACTTCTCCAGCAGACTGCGAACTTGCTCTCTTTCGGAATCGATCTGGAAATTAACAAGAAGCTTGTGAAAAATACTCTCGGTTGAAAGTGTTAACGGCTGATGAACTGCTCTCTTGACTTCTGACTCGTCTGGCTCGAACTTCAACAATAATTCAGCGCAGGTGATCACATCTTGTCCCAATAATAAGTCTTCCTGTAGTAGATTGTCTTCTGCGATGTAAACTTTGGCTGTTACGATTTTTCCAGCGATGTTGATATCCACAACTATGGCTTCAGTAAGGATTCGTGAGCCTCCACAAATGCCCACAATTTTCATAGCACAAGTCTGGCGATCTGCGTCGATCTTCCAGCTTCCAGTGTCAATGAATGCGTTATACCCTTGCTCGTTGATATATACTCTTCTTGTAAACAGCTTGTCATGATTTGATGCACCCAAACGCATCACCTGTGCGACGTTGCAGCTTTCATTGGCGGCATGAAAAGTATTACATTTGGAACAGCGCGTCTTCTTTCTCTCCTTTGGGCACAAATTAGCGAAATGCCCAAGATCTCCGCAATTATAGCATGCTTTAGCTTCTTTTGGCTTCTTTGGCTTCATCTCGTTCTCCAGCTTTCCCTCAAAGTTACTGGATTTGGGTACGTACTCTTTCTTGTTAGCAATAGGTCGACCTCTGTTTAGAAAATATGACTCAGCAGCATCTCGAAACTCCTTCATCGACGAAAAATGAATGGCTGCAATACTGTTTTGCAACTCTCTGTGCTGTAGACCTGCTCGAACATATCGAATCACTGCTGCTTCACTAAGCTTGAACCGTACTCCAAGTGCTGACATCCGGAAACAATACTCCTTTACGGTTTCCTTCGATCGTCTGGTTGCATTTGCCATGTTGAAATGGATTTCTGCCTCGTCTGGTTCTGCTCCGAACTCTTCTCGGATATCTGCTGCAAAACTATTGTGTGTAGAACTATTGTGTGTAGAACCTGCGAAGAATCGAGCCACATCTTGGCGGGACCCTTCAGCTTCGTGTAGATAGCTAAAAGCACAAATTTCTCGTCCCATTGATACGCACCAACCACCTTGTTGACACGATCGATGAACTGGTTTACTGAGATCGAATTCTCATCTCCGGGGTCATATTCTGGTAATGTATTTGCAATTTCCTTCACCGACGCTTGTCTAAAATTGTTCGCTGCCTGCTCTCCAGGGTTAGAATCGCTCCTCTCGTCTACGTTGACTTCTTGCACGCGTTGTTGCTGCTGCTGTTGCTGATTAGCTGTTGGCATATTGTTGACCAACTGCGTCATTATGGTTGTCAGTGTCTTCATCTGTTCTTGTATTTGTGAAATCGCAGCTCCCTGTGCTGCGAGTGTTTCCTCATACTGATTCATGATTCCAGCTGCTTGTGGCATATCCACGTCTTCGGAATCTTCGTGATCCACTAGTCTCTGCACTAGTTCTGCTCTGGAGCCCGCAACTCCTAAGTTCCTCTCTCTCAACAGGTACAGCAACTGGTCTGCCTTGAGCTCTGCTATCTTGACCATTTTCTCCAAAAATGATCGCAACTTTCGTCAAAGTTTGTCTGTTTTCCTTCTGTACGCACAACCACAATCGTTTGCACGAACAATCTTGCACCCACGAGCAACTCTTTTTGCCCGTCTGCAAGCGAGATCGCTAGTTCACCACTCCTGAAATTCGCCTCCTTTGAATTTCACAACGTCGCTACACACACATACAAGCCCTTTGTATGATTTCACAACGACGCTCCGCATACACACATACAAGCTTTTTGCATGTCTCTCTTCAGGTTCACCAAGACTCCTGAGTACTCCGTTTTGAATCCATCAGCCACTTAGGAAAGGATCGCTATCCGTAATTTGTAGTCTGTTGTCCTCTAGACCTTTGGGAACACCTATCCCATTACAAACTTCCCACGCCGACGACTCTGCTGCTGCTGCTTCTCGGTGTCTCACTCACTGTTACTGCCTCTTACACATAGCCAACTCGAATTATCTCACTTCTGAACTGTGAAGGGATGGCTTTTGCGAGTGGTGGAGTAATGTTTATTGGATATGTTAAGGGGTTTAACAGGATGAAAACTTAAGGAACTTATATTCTGCGTTATAAATCTGGACCGCGTCCGCTCGATTCTCTCGTTGATCTTCTTCTCCCTGGTATCGGGATCGTCTCGTATCGTATAGTCTAACTATCGCTTACATACTATCGGTATCGTATCGGTTGTTCCTGGACAACAACCAGCCCGTTACATATCTAGTTATTTATCAGCTCGATCCACTTTTACCGTGCATAACACCCAGTGCTACAATAATTATTTGACTCGTTGCAGGGCCCAGTTTTCTGAGCACCCAAAACAGTTTTATAATTTTGTTAAGTCTAAACGTAAACCCATTACTCATCCGTCCTCGCTCTCTTTTGATAATACAACAGCAGATAATGATCAGGCAATAGCCGATCTTTTTGCTCAGTTTTTTGAAACCACTTACTCCAACTCAATAGACCCAAATCAGGCTTATCCTTACATCATCCCCAAATCGAACCAAATCTTCAGTTCTACCATAAACGAAAGCTCTCTTCTTATAGATCTTCATCGTGTTAAGGCAGTTTTTTTACCAGGTCCCGACGGAATACCAGGCTGTGTGCTTAGGAATTGTGCCAAAGCCCTGTGCAATCCACTTCTCAAATTGTTTACCTTATCCTTAGAGCCCTCCCACTTTCCCCTTATTTGGAAGGAATCATTCGTTATTCTTCTCCACAAAAAAGGTAGCAAATTGGATGCCAACAATTACAGAGGTATCTCTAAGTTGTCGGCCATCTCTAAACTGTTCGAAAATGTTATTACTCCTCACCTGCAGCGCCTGTGTAGGTCAATTATTTCTTCATGTCAACATGGTTTTATTAGGCGAAGATCAATTACAACTAATCTGTTGGAGCTTACTTCCTTTATTAAAACGGGCTAACGAAATAACTTTCAGACAGATGTTATCTATACTGATTTCAGAAAAGCATTTGACTCTGTTAACCATTCTCTTTTTGTTCGGAAACTCGATTTAATGGGATTTCCGACTGATCTTCTTAATTGGATCTCATGTTATCTAAATGGCAGGACGCAAAAGGTCTTTTTCGAAAATAAACAATCTAATGTTCTTAGGGTTACATCTGGCGTCCCGCAAGGGAGTCATTTGGGTCCGTTACTGTTTACATTATTCATCAAGGATCTGCCCGAAGTTTTGACCAACTCCAGAGTACTTATGTACGCTGATGACGTCAAGCTTTGTGTGCAATATAACGATGCTACTTGCCAATCTGACTTACAGACAGATCTTAACAATTTTCAAACATGGTGCTGCGTGAAGTTATTAAACTTAAATGGCTCTAAGTGCAAGCAATGACATTCTCCCGTGCCACTCCTAAGCCTGCAACTTATACGCTAAACGGCTGCTCTTTGGAAAAAATTAATATAGTTGATGATTTAGGTGTCCGTCTGGATCCTAAACTCGACTTTATCGATCATATTTCGTGCATGGTTAATAAAGCCAGGGGTGTGCTTGGTTTCATTAAACGGTGGTCGAAGGAATTCAATGACCCCTATGTTACAAAATTTTTATATACTTCACTTGTTCGTCCTATCTTAGAATATGGATCCTGCGATTGGACCCCTCAGTATGGCGTCCACAGTAAACGCATAGAATCGGTTCAAAAGAACTTCTTACTTTTCGCTTCACGCGGTTTAAACTGGGATGCAAACCAGAGGTTACCGTCTTATTCTAGTAGACTTTTACTAATTAAGTTAACCTCCTTATCTAATCGTAGAACCATGCTAGGTATTACATTCTTATACAACTTAATCCGTGGTGACGTGGAAAGTACTGACTTGCTCGGTCAGCTAAATTTTCACGTACCAATAAGAAACACTATATCCTTTTTACCATTAGTTTTGCCACACTGTTGAACATCTTTTGAACTGCATGAACCCTTTAGAGTCCTCTGTGCAAATTATAACGATTTGTACACAATAATATCTAACGTTGATAGCCTCCCAAAACTAAAAACTTCAATCTTAACCTACTTAGTACGCATGCAAGCAACCAATCCGGCAGTACGCCAGTAGTAGTTTCCCCGCATCCGTTTTTTTTTTTTTAATTCCTTCGCGTTTACTAATTGCTAACAGAACAAGCACGAGCTTGGTGTCGCAAGTTTCACTTGATATGTACTGTACATAGTGCATCAACGTCTTGCAATTTATATCTTATAAGTATTTTTAACTGGCTGTTTCGTTCCATCAACAATATGGCAACCTTGGCGATAACTTTTTGCGGTGAGCTTATCGACCTATCGCCAAAACGAGAAAACTGGTTGAACACGGCAAAAATTTTGTTGTCAAATCTGAGGAGGGGTCAGAAATAATTTTTTTATAAAATAAGTACCTGCCAGAATGATCTTGTGGTGGTGTGGAATAAACATCAATAGACCATTGAGTAAACCATTTTTTTCTTTTGGTAAATAAGATCTGATTGCATAGAAAAAAAGCCATTTACTTTTCATTCCGGCCAAAAAAAGGTGCCCGTTATTCAAATCGGAAAAATCTTTCGTTTTCGATTACCGGAGCACCAATTTCTCGTTTTCAAAAACGAAAACGAAAAAATCTTGCCGTTTTCGATTACCGGAGCAGACCTGATTCACAATAATTATACCCTTGCAGGGTATTATAATTTCAGTCAGAAGTTTGCAACGCAGTGAAGGAGACGTTTCCGACCCTATAAAGTATATATATTCTCGCTCAGCATCAGTAACCGAGTCGATCTAGCCATGTCCGTCTGTCCGTCCGTCTCTCCGTCCGTCTGTCCGTCCGTCTGTCCGTCCGTCTGTCCGTTTCTACGCAAACTAGTCCCTCAGTTTTAAAGTTATCTGAATGAAACTTTACATTTAGTCTTTTATATACTCTCACTGCTATATATGTCGGAAAGGGCCGGATCGGACGACTATATCATATAGCTGCCATACAAATGTTCGATACATTTTTAGAAAAAAAATTATAAGTTGGTGTTTTTTCAACATTTTTGTATCATTTATGAGTTTTGGCCCTTTTATATTATTTCAGAATTTGGTTTTAATTTTATGAAAATCGGACGACTATATCTTATAGCTGCCATACGAACGATCGGGAAATTAATTGGAAAAAATTATAACTTCGTTGTTTTTCAACGTATTTTCATCTACTCTGAGATATGAGCTTTACTTATTATTATAGAATTTTGGTATACATTTTATGAAAATCGGACAACTATATCATATAGCTGCCATAGAAGCGATCCGTAGATGTAGAGAAAATGTAAAGCTGGGAATGTATAACTGTAACTGTCAAACTGTAAACATAATAAGTATAGTTAAAATGTTATGAAACTCTGTTTAGTGTCTGTTTTCGGCATTATAATTTATAATATAAATATGAAAACCAATCTGCAAGGGTACACAAACTTCCTTTCTTGTTTTAAATGTCAAAAAAGTAAAATAAAAATTTAATTGAATTGAAAACTGTCATCCTACACAGTCCATTCGTGTGAAAGAGTTGGGATTTTTGCCAGTTGGGAAACTCCGACTCCCACAAAGCTACATCCACATCTGATAGCCGCAAATTAAACTGCTGAGTCTCATCCAATTCATAAGCAAAGGTGGTTTTAAAGGCTTTTTCAAACAATTTGGCTGTTGAACAACAGTAAACCCGCAGATCCATCTAAAACCGACGCCGTACTCTTGTACTATTATGATACTGCCGCATTATTTCATGAAAGATTTTACAGCGCTGAAGCGTTTTTTACAAGTGTGAGCAAGACAAATTTTTATTTATTTTTTTTGTATCATATTACAAACATTTTTAAACTATCAGGGCTACAACATAGCAAAAATATGTATAAAAGAAAGTGCTGAAAAATAATATAACGGCTTTCATTAAGCCCAACGCACGGGTAGCATTTTATAAGATTTTCTGTTTTTCATACTTTGACCTCGATTTTTTTGGGTACCTGTATGTAAGGTAATTATACCATAGAACTAAGGGATTTAATGTTATTTATGACCCTTTGTTTTTCAATTACGGCGTGCTTGTAGGAATTGGTGCAGGTCTTTCCTTCCCACCAACAGTGTATATTGTGACTTCACACTTTGCAAAGTTACGCGGAGTGGCCAATGGTCTGTGCATCTCAGGCAGTACCCTTGGCAGCATTATTCTTCCCCCCCCCTTCTTTGTTGGTTAGACCTATGGTTACCATGGAAAGTGTCTCATAATGGGAGGCATTACCCTCAATGTTTTTGTAGCGGCGCTGTTTTATGAGCCTGTGGAGCAGCACATGGTACGTGCCCGTCAGGCTCTGGAGGATATACCTGAAGAAGAGGACATTGGAATTGTGATGAAATTCGAGAATGTCGACGAGAACGTAGTTGACCAGGAGCAAGCTGATAAGCACCTACTACCCTATAACTCACCGCCTTCTCCCCTGTATCTACCCGACGATGAGAAGCAGCTGTT